AGCCTCTTGTTCAAATGGAAACATCCATTGCGGCATTGTAGTCTTCATAACCATCAAACGTTGCACTCAGCAATGGTATTATGTGGTTACATCGCCTTGCTATCGTTCGATATCTTTCTTTTCGTTAAGGCAACATTTCGTGAAATGTATTCATCCCATTCCGTTGAAAGGGATAAAAGACTGTTAGTTGAATTTTCCCACAATGATATGAGTAGACCTTACGCTTCCCCTTAATTTCACATGGCCTTTCTTCCAAAAAGGCATTCTCATCCAAGGCGAACTGCAGTTTCGACCCTGTCTATGTCTTTACAGCATATCCAGCGGAACTCGAACAATGACATTACAGCGTAATGTAGTCGATTGCTTTAGCAAACATAACTCTGATTTATCGTAAATCATACCACAAAATGTAATGTGGGAAAATGCCTGGCCATCTTTGATACCCGCATTGGTCCTGTGACGCAAAGATACTCATTGCGGTGTGGCATAGCGGTTAACTTGTTGAGATTATACGCTGTACTCTCATGGCTCAAGTGAATCCTACTTACAAAAGCGAAAACGCTAAATTATATTTGAAGTATACCTTCTCAATTGCAGACATGTGATGAGCAAATAACCCACAAAAAGAGAGCGACGAAGATAGAGTCACAGAAATCACAGAATGCCAAAAAACTATTCGATTATGCATAGCCAGCACATATGAAATGCAAGCTACTTCCTTTTCGAGGAAGCATTCTCCTCTTCATGCTACTTTTACTTATAAACCCCACACTGTCCCTCTAGGAATTCCAACTTCACTGAACAAACAGAGACCTTAAGATTAAGGTTGACAGAAAAAAATTAATCCTTATTCGTCTTTTAAGATCGAGAAATTGAAGCGTCTCTCACGAGTCTATTAATTTTTATCTCTTTTCCATGTAGACACTTCACCAACCTTTGAACCACTCATCCGAATGTTTTCCTTGTTAATGCAAAGTGTTCGTAATTGTTCTTCAAGTTCATGCACAGCGCCCTATCCTCGGGACCACTAAAGTTGCAAAAGAGATTCAAGTGTTTGCCAATGGCCTTCGCCAATACTCTACATGAGGCGCTTATTAACAGGACAGCTAGTAACCATCTGGATAACTCTTGACAACCACATTTTAGAGCTTCTTCGACCACCAACATCCTCGACGTCTCATGTCGGTACCTCATTCGGGTGATCCGCAATCACAGGTCTGTCGGTGAACTTGGATCTCAGATCTAAATGACACACAGCCAGAACTGTATGGTGGGATTTCTCTTGAAGCCTGGCAGGAGACATGAGAGATGGAATTGTCAGGCTTTGTCAAGTATCGCATCTAGACGGAGCTTTAATGGACTCTTTCTGGCCACCGATACAACCTTACACAAATCATTTTGAACTTTTTAAAACCGACTTTTATTTGGTGTAAAGTGTGTGGTGAGAAAACACTTGGCTAGCACGAGGACAAGAAATTCCTCTCGATCTGTTTTAGTCTCATTTTATTGAAACACTCCCCTTCATTGCTGGTGAATATTTACCAAGTTGTCGTCGGTGAAGTCGCTTGACGCGCATTTTCAGAGCGGGAATTCAGTCTTACATGCTATATATACCCAAACTAAGGTGAGTTTTAAAAAGTGTGGGTTGGTTAATTCATTTTCATATATGTCTATCTTTATGTGTTTCACTGCACTGGCATGGTTAGACTCCCGCAGGGGGTATTGATAAAACCTAAACGAATTTCAAACTGCGGTCCAACCTGGATGAGAACAACTTTTGGGAAAGCAAGACTATGTGAAATTCATTGAAAAGTCAGTCCTACTCATTTCGCTGCTGGAAAATTCAGCTATCATACCTTCATCATCTTAAACGAAATAGGGTAGATAAAAATGCCTCAAACCTATCAGTTTACTAGCTATGAGTCTGGGAACGTATGAGTTGGTTAATTTAGTTTGATGTGAATCCATGTTTATATGCGTTAGTGTTTGTGTGTTTGCATGTGAGTGCGTGCTTGTGTAAGTGAGTGAATGCCGAGAGTAAATGACAAGTGATAGTTCCGAGTAGCAATGAGGGAGTTTAACATCAACTGTTATTATATGTCTACTGCTAAGTGTGAAACGAGTGAGCTTATTGAAACTATTAAATTAGGGAATACCTTCACCGTAAAGAAGAAGATGAGGGTAGGCTAGAAGGTGAGTTATTTATTATGACACTCAGACACGGTCTTCACACTTCATCCCACAACTAAGGCCCATTAGCTTAACTACACGAGCGTACAGTATTGCATAACCGTGAAGATGCGTTTGCCCCAGTCAAAAAACGAAAATTTAGGAAAGTCCTTAAAACCTAGACGGATCTCACGCTGCCTTATATTTATTTTCAGAGCTATCACCTATGCTCTAATAGCCACAAGCACATACAAGCATAGACACAAACATGAAAACACACAGAAGTATAAAAAAATGAACAAACGAATTTCCCAATTTTACCAAGTTAAACTTAGATATAGCATATATATATATATATATATACAATAACAATATTGAAGTTGGGAAGTCATATAATATAGGTTGGTTTATTCATTTTCTTGTACCAAACCGGGGCACTTTATACATTGTAATATGCACATAAAAAACTTCGGAGATTCGTAAAAACCCAAATGCCCTTTCTTTATTATTTTGCAAATACTTTGACAGTGTTCACTGGCCTGCCACAAGTGTTTACGACTTTCTTATGACTTCTAGCCAGTCTAGATTAGACAAGGTGATGAAGGATTGATAGATGAATATTTCTATAATCTTCTGGGTAGGCCTTCCGATGCCATTGAATTTCATTTAATCTTGACTCTCATTAGAGTGGACTGCAAACTTAACCCCACAATAATCGAGGTCAAAATTGCATTTTAGTCCAACAGAGACGATAATATCTTTAGGGAAGCGAGGCTATATTAAATTCGATGAGAACGTATGGCCTAATCATGTGATTGTGGTAAAATTCAGCTATCAATCCATCACCACATTATTCGACCCAAGAGGACTAGATCTCCTATTCAAAATTTACGGAAGGCCTCGAAAGCCTACTATTTTAGGTTGGTTGACCTTGTTTTCGCAACTTACCCATATTGGCAGGAAAAACTGAAGGAACGTAACTAGTCTGGAGAAAGCCAGTGTGGAGTGTGGAGAGTTCTCATGAATGTCTGTTAAAATGGCACACCATACCACATTTTAAGAAACAAGTAAAAATTGTGATCGTGAAGGGCTGATGCGAGGATATAGGATTGGTGATTAGCCCAGGGCGGAAGGAGCGATACCACGATTGTTTTGCAGACAATTGGTCAAAGGATCTGCTTCACTTTTTCTTTGATGAGTTGTAATGTGATGGCGAGGCTGGGAAATGTCTGGCGACACGTCTGGGAATGTACCACGTCCACGGTCCGACTCTGGAAATGATCATGCATACACTGGACTTCGAAATAGATGCGTTCCTCCAGGTCTTCCTGCCAATATGGCCAAGTTGCGAAAACAGGGTCAAACAACTTCTATACAACGAAACAAGATTGCGATCATACAAAATGCCACACCGTTTGGTCTTCATACCTATTTTTAAAGTACAACTTCTCCAAAATTACTATGGTTCACTTACAAATTATCATTTCCTTCTGCTTGACGGACCTTTTTGACAGTACTTGGGCTTCGAACCCAGCAAGACTCCTTAAATATGCTTTTCCAAAAAATCATAATGTAGAAGAGTAAGTTGAGAACGTTGATACGAAGGACTATGGCTTGATCTTCTTGCCAATGCAGTGCTATAGGTTTTTTTCAACACCCTGTCTGATTAATATAACCATTCTATCAACCTACGCGACATATCAGCTTGTCCTGGTGCCGGATGACGACCACCGGACGATATGTATC